AGCAAACTTCTCAGCTAACCACACTGCTAGAGAGCTTCTAAGGGTCAATTGTGCCTTGTTAATGAGTAACAGGGGTGGTAAAAGCCTCTCACGGGAGATCTGACTATTTCCCAACAGGGCTTAGAGGTGGTGGCAGTCTGGCTCAGTAGGCTTATACTAAAATGCATTGATTTCCCTTTATTGTCAAATAGAAGCATATGTGTACTGATCTATACTCCTGAGATACGAGTAATTCTAACGCCACAGTTCGACTTAAACTAAAAAATAAATTCACATGCAGTTTGCTAGTGTAAACAAATCTCTTTTTCTGCCAGCTAACACGAAGGGGCCAGCAATTCACAGAAGGAATCACTTGCTGGTGGAATGATCACCTCAGCACTTCAGTATTTAGATTAGAAAGGAGCCAATAGCAGCTAGATTGTGAGAGAACAAGCAAGAAAGAAGGGACAGATAAGAGGCAGTTCACCCAATGGACCAACTTACTTTTCACCAACCATATGATGTTAAAATAATTATCATATAAATTAACATTTCAAGAATCTAATTACAGCATAATTGTCTATTTAATCAGCCACCAAAGTAGGAAATTATGAAATAACAGATAATAATTTCATAAATGTTTTTAATTTAATGTTTAATCTAGTTAGAAAGTTTTACTGAAGTAGCTTCTCTGGGTCGTATGTGAGTGCTGTAACCGGGTGTGCTCTTTAAAGAAATGTTCTTGGTGATCTGCAGCGTCTCAAAGCTTTGCTCCCACCAAAGGAGCAAACCCGAGTGAAGAGACAGTGTATAGACAGGGAAGACTGTTGCCAACCACACATCAGAAGGGGTTAGTACCCAGACCATGGAATGAACCCCAAAAATCAAACACTAGAAAAGCAAAAATTCCAATCAATAAATGAACTCATGAACTGAATAGACAGTTGTAAAAGTAAAACAAACACAAATGGTGGTAAAATGTAAAAATTGATGTTGGGGTGACTATGCACAATTAATAGATCCCCAACACAAGCCCTGTTAGCTCTGGCTCTGGAAACGGCATGGAAGAGGTCCCAGGAATAAGAACCAGAGGTCCAGGAATCTGCTGTGAGGTAGTCTCAAACAAGCAGGACACAGAGGCCAAAATTTAGAATTCAAATAATAAATTAAGCCAAAAGCATTACGAAGAATATAAAGACAAAAGCAAAAATGAATGGCATAGAGAAGGAATTAAGAGGGTCAAGTTAATAAACAAAATGACACCTGTAATCCCAGGCCTCAGGAGGTGGGGATTACAGCTGGAGATTATGGGAAAGACCCCAACCTGGAAGCCAGCAAGACTGCCACGCCACATACAAAAATGTCCTACTTCTTGAGGGAAAAGAATCAAAAAGCAAACAATAAACTAATTCAATCCTTGAAAATGGAAAATAATAATATACATTGTAATTGATAGAGAATTTTCAGATCAAAAGAAAACACATTTCTAAAACCAGATGATGCCCTTAACCTCTGTAGGAGTGAAATATGAAAACAAGAAGAAATGGACCATTTCTTGCACAAGTTGTTGAAATAGTTTCTAAAGATGAATTCATTAAATGCAGAGGACATGTCCGCCTTCCACGAAAACACCAGGAAGAAATGGTTGTACAAGGTGCTGAGTCAACCCCTAAGAGAGCAGCCCACCCAGGACTATGTAAAGTGTGTCAGGGGATTGCAAGAAACAATTCCCAAGCCCTTTTAGCGAAGAAGGTTAAGATAAGTCTCTCTCCCTGAAGAATGGAAAGTATAAGCAATAACAGGCTCCAGTATTCATTCCCAGAGTGGGCTTGAGGAGAAAGGCTCAAGACAACAGAGAGGAATGGCTTCTGCAGTAAGACGGATAGAACATGCCTCTCTATCCCATAGTATATTCTCATCTAGTCTATCATAGACAGCATGCCGTCTTAATGCAGAAACACAAGATCCTTCATGTTCTTCCAAGGAAGAAGGCAAGGATGTTTACTATCCTCGGGGAGACTTTGAAACGGAGAGTTGGGGAGTTACGGTTAGCTGTAACTTAACAGTTGGAGGCATGCTGCAGTTTGGATCCTAATCCTTCCCTGGTCCCTGTGCCCAAAAGTGTTTTCTCCAAAGGGACTTTACTGAGAGATGGTATAATCCCTACAGAAGGGGCCTCTTAACTGTTAACTCAGAAATTTACATCAAGAAATTCATCTTTGAGGGTTAAGGTAGGAAATTAGTGTCGCACCATTTATGATCACAGATATAACAACATCAAGACACCTCATCTCACTCAGTCTTCATGACAGCTAGTGCAGAAAACACAACATTCTTGTTTGAGACAAGTTCTCTCTATGTAGTCCTGAATAGCCTGAAACTTGCTAGAAATAGACCAGGCTGGCCCCAGACTTAGAGACTCAGCTCACAATATACTCTTTTGTAGCAATTAAAATAAGTTCAAGGAAGTACCTAAGAAATAGTATGGATTGACTGCTAACGTAGTTTTTTAGGCGAAAACAAAATAATAAAGAATTTAGAATTGTGTCACTTTTTTGTGTGATAAAGCAAGAAAAAAACATACATGTATCTGATAAACATACACATAACTGGTAATTTTGAAGTAAAAACAAAACCAAAATAAAATAAACCAAAAACCAAATACAGACTGCTGCCTACAAGGACTAAAGGGAAGAAGCGGAAAGGATGTAGAAAGAGGCAGGGTTTTGTTTTTCTTTTAAAAACATGCTTTACATCCTACACATTAGAACTGTAAGATAAAATTATTACAAATGTTAGAGGAAAAAATTAAACTACATGAATAGAAACGAAGTCACGTTTGTTTCAATCATTTAGAAGGGGGAAGAAAACCCAGCCATTACTTCTGAAATACATCTTTAGTGGACGTGGCCAGAAGAGAACTGTCCTCGAATGGTGCCATTATCTCAGAAGGCCACTGCTACTGTGAGAATGGCCACAGGGCTGAGGAAATGGGTAAATGTGCTTTGAGAATAGCTCCAACTACGAAAGAAAGACGGGGATACGGAAAGGAGAGCATTGCAAGGGGCCCAGAAACCACACAAACAGGCTTTGATTGTCATTTCTTTATGGGGGAGAAACTAGTATGTGTAACTAATAGAAACAGAAAAAAAAATGAATGTTTTCAAGATATGTAATTTTCCACTTGAGAGATATATTTTTTAATGCACTAAAATTGATACTTTAAATTTTTTAGGTATTTTTTTTCCTTAATGCTTAATAACTGGCTAATTTGAGAACTAATTGCACAGTGCTGCAGCAATCTATCTATTAAAAATATTCCAACTATCTGCCTCAAATAACAGCAAATATATTCACAAAAGAGTGTAACAAAATTCCTGCAGGTGCATGTGTCTTTATGAACATCACACAATTACGTTGGCATCAGTGGTACTCTATGAATGTCAATAGCCAACATCAACTTGCTGCCTCACATATTTCCATCTGTACATAGGATTGCCACTTTGTTACTTTCTATTTCATTTCCCAGCGAGAACCAACTGTCCATTTCAGCCGCGCTGTGAGGACTGCTTCAGCTTTGCCTCTCTCCTGCAGGCTTCCAGTGTTTGCCCAGGGGTTAGGAAGCTCTGCTAAAGATGGGTAACTCAGTGTTAGTTACAGAGCATTGTGTCTACGTGAGCTGTCCAGATTCCTCTAGGTTGGCATGAAGGAACTGCTGGCATGTCCTCCATGCTGCCTGTACATCTCAGCCTAAGACAGCTAAGGACTCTCAGTAGCGATTTGTGATGGGAAAGTTACTTCATTGTTGGGGCGGGAAGTTTGCGTATTACAGCTGCCCAGTGCTGCCTGTGCTACGGCTTTCTGAACCTCAGCGTTGGAAGAGAACCCGAGAGATGGAGCTCTTCAGTGAAGGCGATGGAGATGATTCTAACAGATGTTGGCTACCCTCGTGTGGGGGGAGCGGTGCTAACTAGACAGTAACTGTGAGATTCTGCAGTAGCACAGTAGCATACCCAGAAGGAAGAGCAAACACAGTAAGAGCACATATGGTCTCAGAAAGAAAAGTGGGGAAAGATACAAGCATGACTTAGTAAGAAATGATATTGTTAAACAAGCCAATGCCATTTCTCAGGAAAACCTGTCTCTCTAGCAAAACCAGTTAGAAGTAAGGTCTCTGAACTTAGAGGAAAAAACCTGATTTTTAGAAAGCTCCAATTTTTGTTCTCTGTGAAGAAAAAGAAGACCACCCTCACGGGATACTGATCTAAATAGCAAAATGAGGTAAATTACTCCTTGTCTGAAGGGAAGCCAGTTTAACACTCTGAAGAGGTAGCTGAATAGATAAAAGTATTTCAAGTGTGAGGATCTGAGCTCAATCCCTAGGACCCATGCAAAAAATGTCAGGTATGGTGACATACACACCTAGCCTTGGGCAGGCAGAAAGAGCTGGATTCCTAGGGAACATTGGCTAGCCAGTCTAGCCTAACTGGTGAATTCAAAGCCAATGAGATACCCTAGCTCAAAAGAAATAGTGTAGACAAAGCTCCTGATGATGAATACCTTCAGTCTTCTTCTGGCCTCCATGTTCACATACACACACATTAAAAACTCCATTAAATTACTTCCCTTTTGTTGTGTATAAACTAAAAGATGATAACCATCATAGTTTATTCAATTTCACTATTTGTCGTCATGAACTGTTTCAGCTCCTCAAGCCTCACAACAAAACTCATAAGTAATTTTGCTCCCATATTTCTGTGGGAATGTATTTATAGTTCTTAATGTTATTATGAGGATTTAATGAGATAATTCATAAAAGTTGCTTACAAAGTATGTGTCATATAGTAACTGCTTAATAAATGTCAGTCATTATCATTAGCCTCTGAGTTTCAGAATAATGACTCCTTGATATTCAGTTAAGAAGTGATGTTAACTAATTCATTTAGCAGCATGAAAACTTAATTCAACATTTTACTGGAAACATTTGGAGGATATTCATGTAATACTCTGACCCTAATCACATAGAAAAACCTGACAAAGCCTACCTAAATTGTTTCCCCCAAGAAGTTGAATTATATAAAACCCACTGTCGCTGAGCATCTTCCTTGCAGAACAATCTGACATTGATATTCCCGAAAATGAATACGCTCATCAGCTTCTATTCTCAAGATACTCTGTCAACGAGTGAAGCCAGAATATAATTTTCTTGTACAATACAGCAATTAATTTTTCAATATAATTATAATCAATTACATACGAAAACATAGCCCTCCCTTAGGATGAATATGCACAGAGGGTGTTGAGAAGCCCTCAGGAAGATCGCGGTAATCATTCATTTCAAGTATAAATAGCATCAACTGTTTCTAAAGAACTAATTCCCACTTCCTATCAGCTGAAGGCGCAGTAGCTGTGAGAGAAGGAGCTGGAGGAAACCAGAAGGAGCCCATCTCCATCAGAGTAAACCAGAAGAGGGAGAAAGGCTTAAGGAACAAAGCATGACCCAATGCGACTTAAGGGTGGGTGTCGGCTAACCTCTGAGAGCGGATGAACCTGGAGTGTAACTGTTCTATATTCTACTATCTGAAAAGACATCTTTGTAAGCGTTGTGTGTAGGGGCTTGCATATGTGCAGTAATGAAGCTGAATGAAGTTGTTTGAACTTGTCAATACCATGGCTTTTGCTCCCAGCAGCACATTAGGTTAACTAAGGAGTCCCCTGCAGGAGGCCCATCTCTGGGGCCACTTAGACCTAGTTAGTCAGAGCCCCCAGAGCCCCTGGCTTAGGAACAGCAGGTCACAGTGAAGACACCTGCTCTGAAAAGCACGGTACTGATCCTTAGGTATTTTCAGTTTCTTTTTTTTTATATAATTTTTATTTTTTATATTAATCACAGATTATTTACTTTGTATCCCAGCTGTAGCCCCCTCCCTCATTCACTCCCAATTCCCCCCTCCCTTCTTCATCTCCTCCCTGCCCCTTTCCAAGCCTACTGATAGGGGAGGTCCTCCTCCCCTTCCATCTGACCCTAGCTTATCAGGTATCTTTAGGACTGGCTGCAATGTCCTCCTCCTTTGTGGCCTGGCAAGGTTGCTCCTCCCTCTGGGGGGTGGGAAGTGAGGGGAAGGTCAAAGAGCCAGCCATTGAGTTCATGTCAGAAATAGTCCCTGTTCCCCTTACTAAAGAACCCACTTGGATACTGAGCTACCATGGGCTACATACGAGCAGGAGTTATAGGTTACATCCATACATGGTTCTTGGTACTATTCAGCAATTAAAAACAAGGAAATCATGAAATTTGCAGGCAAATGGTGGGGTCTAGAAAAGACCATCCTGAGTGAGGTATCCCAGAAGCAGAAAGACACAGTATATACTCACTTATAAGTGGATACTAGACCTATAAGACAGAATAAACATACTAAAATCTGTACACCTAAAGAAGCTAAACAAGAAAGAAGACCCAGGGTAAGATGATTAATCCTCACTTAGAAAGGCAAATGGAATGGACACTGGAAGTAGGAGAAAACAAGTAACAGGACAGGAGCCTACCGCAGAGGGCCTCTGAAAGACTCTACCTAGCAGTGTATCAAAGCAGATGTTGAGACTCATAACCAAATCCTCGGCAGAGTGCAGGGAATCATATGAAAGAAGGGGGAGTTAGTATGTATGGATATTTTCAGTTTCTTTTTTGGTTTGATCATCTGGGACTATTCTGCCCAGTTAATTTGATGGGGGAGGGCAAGAAAGAGAGGCTTATGAGTTGCTTATAAAGATAAGGTTAACACTAAACAAAACTTTTAAGAAATAACTATCTTTTTCTTTCCTTCCTCCTTTTCTTCCTTCCTTCCTTTCCTTTTTTTCTTTTACCCTAAGAAGATCAACCCCATGGACACAGATTTGAGTTAATAGCAAACTAATGGAAATTACTCTTCTTAGGAATAAATGTAGATATTTCAATGCTGTCTCTGTTTTCTTTGGCTTCACATCTGAAAGCTTATTTCAGCTACAGCAATAGAATGTGAGGTAACACTGCAAGAAAAAAAGAATTAAGTAAATGTGGCTTCGTTATATTCCCCTGCCTTGCGAAATTAGTGTTTAGATGCAAAACTGAACATAATGGCATTAGAACTCAATCTCCCTAGTGTGTGCTAAAAATACCATTGATTGACTGTATTAATTAGGAATAGATCACCAATCCTGAAATATAGCAACAAAATTCAATAGTCATGTTTTATCGGGCTTCTTCTACTTTTTGCTCATTCCTTCTACATTTTCCTTCTAAGGTTTTTCTTTTATATTTTATTACAGAGAATCCCCTATAACTTTATATATAGTCTCTGTTTGTTTTAAAGCTGTATATGACTGCTTTCAAGCACATCTCCACTCCTACATCAATGGCATGTTAAAAACTTCCCCAAGAAGGGCTCTTAAAATGCCTGGAGCCTCATCCTGTCCAGAAGGGAGATCTTGTAACCCATCCCTAAGTGCCCACCTCAGGGCACCATCCCTTGGAGCCAGGCAGAGTCCTGATTCCACTGGGCCTATTCATTTTCCAAGTCACTTAGCAGACACTGTTAAAGCTTATTCATTTTAATAAAGACTTGTTCTTGTTTCTGTAGGCTCCTGTAAATTTTGAGAGCTCAAATGTCACCTGTGATGCTGTCTAAGGTGTATGCTTGAAAGCTCAAGGACACTAATTCAAATCCAGATTATTATCTCTAGGGAAAAGCTTGGTGTAGGGTCCAAGGGAGCTTTCAAATGACCATTACTAGGAAACTCAAATATGTAAAAATATAATTGTGCCCTAATGAAGTAAAACTGGACACATATAGTGTATGTATTAATATGTAGTATATGTGCATATACCAATATATACATTATACATAAACATATATACTATGTTTAAAGTTGTGAGTATGTCTGTATCACAAGTTCTTTTTAAAAGTTAGAACACACTGTGTTTGACTATTTTTGACACAATGATGACAATTGCTTTAAAAAAGAAAACTTAAATTCCAGAATCAATGGTCAGTGACTAAGATTGTATTAAGTTGCTAGTGTCTTCATTAAGCACTTGATCCATTTTTAAAACAACATATTGTCTTGTCTGTCTCTGGGGCAAAGTAATCTCCATTTTAAACTTTGTTATCTTTATTACGTGGGGCTTGGAGTTTTGGGGGGAGTGGGTGGGCGCAGGGGCATCTGTACCTGTGAGCGCAGATGCCAGCAGAGTCCAGATGTGTTAGGCTGCCTGATGCTGTAGCACGCTAGGGAGTTGTGAGCCTGCTGGTATGGATGCAGGGGACTGAACTCAGGCAGTGCGGGCTCTTAACAACTGAGCCATCTCTCCAGCCCCTCGAATCTTCCTTTGTTGTTGTTTCCTGCACACAGCAGGGATTCTGGTGCGTAATGTATGCTGCATGAAGGAATTATGTTGCTTCTACTATACAATTATAACAGACCTTCTGTGACTGAAAGTTGAAAAAGAAGCTGGGTATGGTGGCACACACCTGTAATCGCAGCAAATAGAAGGCTCCAAGGTGAAGAACTCAAGTTCAAGGTTAGTTTGAGCTATGTACATCTCGTCTCAAAAACACAAAACAAAATAAAGTTAGAAGATGCTGTGTTCAACTATGCTCAGAAAATTGGGTCAAGAGTCAAATTAATTGACTTTTACATAAAAAGGAAAAATGCTCTTTTATATTTATAAACCTGTAATTATTTAGTCAATGTTAATTAGTTTTCAAATCTCAAGTATTTGATGTTGCTTTCTTCCTCCAGTTACTGCTGCCAACTTTTCCTTTAAAATTTATCACATTTTATTCCTTGCTCAGATTCCAACTATAATTGTTCATATTTAGAAATAACAGAGTGTCAAAACTATGTAAAACTGTAATTTCTGGAATCATTAAGACTGGAGGACCACCCACTTGAGGCCTGAGTGCCTCCATGTTTTCTCCTTAGAGGAACGAGAGGAGGGAGGTGTAAGTGCTGAAAAACAAAAAGTTCTGCTTGTTCAATCAAGAAAAAAATTAAAAATAATTTTGAATGCCATTTTAAAGAACAACTTGTTTTACCAGCTTAACCCAGTTAGAGGTAAGGTATTTGTGTTTGGATTTCAAGTATGGCTCTCTCATATTTAACTGGGAGTTATACACAGTTTCGATATGCAATATTTCTGTCGTTTCTCAAACTCTCTACAAACACACTCTTGAGATGGGGATGCTGGACAGTCGTATAACCAATGGGCAATCACTCTTTCCAACACCCAAGCAGTGGGTCAGAGGCAAGGAATGGCGACTGTGAGGCAGAAAGATGACGCTCGCACAGATCTAATTCCACGGAAAGCAAACCAGGCAAGTTCAGGAAGAGCTGGGCAACAGGTCTTAGCCCATAGACCCTGGGAAGGATGCAGGCTCAAGGAGCAGGATTGGCGTCAACTGTATTTGAGTCTCAGATGACAGGCACTTTAATGAATTTGTAGATTATATAGGTCTGAAAGTGGTCGGGGTGGGGGGGACACTACTGGATTGTAAGCTTGGAAATGGAGAGCCTATGTAATATAATTGGCAGAGAGCTTTGCAGCCTCAGACATGCCCTTATGTACACTGGAGATGATCCAGTCTGCCTTCAGTGGGACAAGAACCTGACTCCCACAGGACACTCCGGGTCCTGGATGCAGAAATGGAGCAGATGCTTGCATCTTTCACTCTTAGAGGCTTCCAAAGCCTCATTGTCTGTACTGTTTAGTTTTAGACATCAATCCATGTGCTTTCATTTTTAATATTTTCTATTAATTATTATTATTTATGATAATTTATTCAATTTGTATTCTGGCTTTGACCCCCTCCCTGTCTCCTCCCAGTCCCACCCTCCCTTCCTCTTCTCCCTCTATGCCCCTCCCCTAGTCCACTAATAGGGAAGGACATCCTCCCCTTCTATCTGACCCTAACCTGTCAGGTCTCATAAGGACTGGCTGCATTGTCATCCTCTGTGGCCTGGCAAGGCTGCACCCCCCCAACCCCCAGGGGAAGGTGATCAGAAAACCTGCCACTGAGTTTATGCCAGAGACAGCCTCTGCTCCTCTTCCTAGGGAATCCACTTGGAGATTGTGTCTACGGACTACATCTGAGCAGGGGTTTTAGGTCCTCTCCATGCATGGTCCTTGGTTGGGGTTTCAGTATTTAGACATAGAATACGGATAAATATACTAAAATCTATAGTCCCAAAGAAGCTAAACAACACAGAGAACCCGAGGGAAGATGCTCAATCCTCATTCAGAATTGCAAATACAGTAGACATTGGAAGCAGGAGAAAACAGGGAACAGGACAGGAGTCTGCCATAGAGGGGCTCTGAAAGACTCTATTGATCAAGGTATTGAAGCAGAGGCTGAGACTCATAGCCAAACTTTGGGCAGAATGAATGGAATTTTATGAAAGAAGAGGGAGATAGAAAGACCTGGAGGGGACAGGAGCTCCAAAAGGAGACCGACAGAGCCAATCTTAATGAGCAAAATAATTCTGCAGGAGCAAGCCAGAGAAAAGGACCCTATGTACTTCACTGTTTCCCACTCTTATTTAAATCAAAATTGCAGAGTGGGCGCCCCAGAGGCTGTTTGACAAAGATGTGTAGTTTATTCACCTCTGCAATTTGACTAGATTTTTAGCCCTGGATCAAGCTCTAACATCATTCATTAAGCTAAATATTTGGACAGTGTTTTCAGAAGTATTTTGTTTGGGTTTTGACGAGTCTCTCTACTCCTATAAAATTGCTTTTACCAAACTGAGGCTTGCCTGGATGTCCTCTGTTTGCTGACAACTTTGTGGGTGAGATATACTGAGGTTGCCCCTGCCAGCTCTTCATAAACCCTGTGGGGGAGTTCCCGGACCTTCGGCATAGAGAAGAGCTCCTAAGCACATGACACATTCTCAGTTTTTGACCATCTACCTACTCATGCTAATAAATTTAATTGAAATCTTTTGAGAGAAATTTAAAATAACAACATTAAAGAAACACTCATTAAAACAAATACTTTCTAGTTATGAACACAATTTGTCTTTGTTTATAGTGAGATGAACCAAATCCTGACCTCTGTGTGCGCCTGTCCTCTAGAAGAGCAGAGCCTCTAAACATCCCAGAGGAGCTGACGAGGAAGCAGAGCCTCCCAGGATCAAAGCAGTCACTTCAGCTCATTGGCTATGAGCAAATGCTTAGCAGCTCTGCACCATCAGCCAGCGTGTGTCCACGTGCTAATCGGGATCAGTGCGGCTGGACGCTCCTGATGCCATCATGACCTGCTTTCTATCGTGTACACCACACTGTTACCTCTCTCCAAACCACCTCACTTCTCCAGCTACATCTGTACTCTTCAATCTGATAAAAAAAAATTTTAAATGGATCAATGAGAAAATAATCTATATAATCCCCAGAGAAGATGTTTTAATTCGGTAAGTTATATACATTTGAAGTGCATGATATTTAATATTTTAGCATTCAAAAAATCACTTTAAAATTTCAAACACACTGAGCTTAGAATACCCTCACGAGCATACTCAGGCATTAACCTTCAGGAAAGTCTACCCCAAGACAGACAACTCTCAGCTAGTAAAAAGCATAGCCAATAATTGATTATCTTTTTTTAAAAAAAATAAATTCTTATTTTCAAATGCCCAACACATAAAGGTACTTTGGTAGCAATGTGTGGAAGGAAGCAAGTTAGTTCTAAATCAAGCTCAGGAGAAATGTGAGTTAGGACAACGAAGATACTTCTAAAAATAACTCACAGGGCTGGCAAGGTGTGTCAGCAAGAAATGGGCACCCGCTGGGAACCTGAGCACCAGAATTCTATCCCCAGAACCCACGTGAGGGTGGAAGGACAGGCCCAACTCCACAGAGTTGTCCTCTGTCTCCACATAGGCCCAATGGCATGTACATCCACACTCGCTCACTGCAAATGCACACACATATAGAAATAATAAAAGTTTAAAAACTAAAGGCAAGGAAATTATTTTAAAGCTTGTTAGGGGCCTGGAAGGATGGCTCAGTGGTCAAGACAACCTGGGTTTGGTTCTCTGCACCCATAAGGCAGCCCACCACTATCTGTAACTGCAGCTCTAATTAGGGTATCTAATGCGCTTATCTGGCTTCTATGGGCATGTACATGGTACACAGGTATTCATGCATGTAAAGCACCCTTACATGTAGATTAAAAAAAAATTAAATCTGTCTTACTTAAAACTACCGAAGCTTTTTCATAAGTGTGGCTATTCAAAAGTTGATTTAGAATTCATTTAATAAGATCAGGATTATCCAGACGACTTAATCAAACCACGGTATCAACAAAAACCCAAAGACAACACTTTTTATGGACACTTATGCAGGAGTCCTTAGGAAAGTCGTGCCAATTTAATTCAACAGCATAGTAACAAAATTATAGGCCAAGACAAAGTGAGAGTCATTTCTGAATGCAAGGACAGATAAATACACAATTACCAATCACTGTGCTATGTCAGTCACATCAACAAAAAAGGAAAAATTAAATGACTTTTTTAGCCAATCTAAAAAAGCACCTGACAAGATGCAAGACCCCTCAAGATGAAAACAACACAGTAGAAGCAGAGAGGGGCACCCACAGCACAATCAAATACTCATTGCCCAGCAAAATAGCTTGTGATTTAAAAAAAAAATTATTTTATGGGCATGGGTGTTTGTTTTGTGTGTAAATCCGTGTACTGTGTGCATTCCTGGTGCCCATGAAGGCCAGATGAGGGCCTCAGGTTCCCTGGCACTGGAGTTACAGATGGTTGAGGGCCACCTTGTGGGTGCTGGGTCTCCCAAGAGCAGCCAGCACTCTGAACTACTGAACCACTGCTCCAGCCCCTGACATGTGATGTCACTTACCTGTATCAAGGAAGCCTGGTTTTATTGAAAATTCCTGTGATGAGTGCTTACCTTCCAGAATTCTACTGACCTGTCTGAACCATATGCTGCCATGGTATTCACTTGGGTTAATAAGGTCAAGGGTGGAGGTCTTTAATCTGTTTTATTGCTCCTTCAGGCAGATGAAAAGTGTGGTGCCCTGCAGTGTAACTCTGCCAGGCTGCTTTACAGGACAGCCCCGCTTCAGCTTCGAGGAGAGCACGTCTTCAAGTCCTATGGACTCTTCTCTGCCCAGCACATCACACTCAGAGCCACCTAGAAAGAAATTAAAGTTGCAGTCAAAACCTCGGCTTCTCCATTTTGAGTGTATGAAGAATAGCTGAAACCCACACAACCTTATCACTTGGATTTGTTTGTTTGTGTGTTTTGCTTTTTGACCTCAATCCCTGCATAAGCTGGAAATGGGAGAGAGAAAGAAAATGAGATCAGTTTTCCCTAGGATATTGAAAAACTGAAATGCAAGTCACAGAGTCGCTCTTGCACAGCACTCGTCACCTTCAGAATCTTAAGACCACCCAGTGTATAAACAGTGCACAAATAGAGCCAACTAATGCTGAAAAGTAGAAAGCACTGGCTTTGCTCCGGATGAAGTCATCTTGAGTCTACGATGGCTTGTTAAAGCAAACATTCCTGCTAAAGTCACAGGTGTGCATACAATGTGAAAATGGACAGGAACTGTTCAGGAGGAAGCGGGCCACAGCATTTAGAGGGTCCCATCGGTGAGAGACTGAAAGCTGCCGTGGTGGGTCTACCTCACAAGGCTTCAAAGCAGGGTTCAGAGGGATCACTCTACTCCCAAGTCATTCCACAGTGTTGACCTCTGACCCTCACAGGCTGTGTACTCACAACCATGCGTGCACACAGCACACACAGACATGCAATATGCAAAGAGGGCAGGTCCCTCACACAGTCTTTTTCTCCTTTTCCTTGGCTGCTCATCTCTCGCTCATTTTTAGGGGTGTTTCAAAGAATCTTGGCACCAGACCCTTTTATATGCTGTTGCAAAAAACTTGTTGGCTAATCTTATCGTGTCGGTCACAGCCTGTGTCGATTAAACATTTAGTTTTGTACAGTAAGATATGCAGTAAGTACGCCCAGGGGGAAAGAATGGAAAAAAAACTAAAAAAAAGGGGGGGGGAGATGAAATAGTCATTGAGGAAAAAAATGATAAACTCCACAATTTTTATCTGAAATCTCATAACGCAGAGTTTGAATGTGTTTAACCTAAGAAATTTAAGAATTCTTCTAACTTAAATCTCTTATAAATCACAAATTTATAGGTATTAAACAGAAGCCAGTATCACACTTGGTAACACAAAACAGAGAAGCCTTTATAGGAACAAGAATGCCTATCACCACCCTTGCTACGACAGGCTATCTAGACATTCTTATTAAGTGCTGAGGAAGTAAAAGACATAATTGATGACTGAGGGAGGGAGTGAACTCAACTTCAACTACAGGCAATCAAATAAGGTATTTATAAGATTCAAGTGAATCTGAATCGACTTCACCATTAGACCTAACCAAAAATGCAGAAAAATGTCTATATCTAAGAAGACATGAAGGGGAAGAAAAGAAATCCCATAACAATTAGTGTATCATGCATTTGAATATCTTACCAGCAACTGATGCAGGAACTGACTGAGGGAGGGAAGCCGTTTAAAATTTACTCAGAGTGAATGGAGATATTTTAGATTCCAGGATTGCATGTCTTGCAGGTCTACAATCTCATTGTTCAAGAACATTTATGATACAACTTCAGCCAAAATCTCAGTGGAATTATTTATGTTTGGATGAGTAAGAAACCTATTCAAACGATTTTCAGGCTGTATTAGCTAGAAAAAGGTTCTAAAAAACAACAAAGACAATAGCCTTCCCTGGCAGGTATAATTTGTGAAACTGCAATAGTTTCAATAAATAGAAACAGAAACAAACGGACCAGAGGAATATGTCTGTGCATCTGAAAATCACTAACATGCCTATGGTGGAATCTGAACTATGTGGAGCCAAGCGAGAGGTGGCAGAGAACTAATTACTCACTGGAAGAGATAAAATCAAACCCAATCTCATAACTTACAGCACTATTTCCAGAGTAAAAATTTACATAACCATAAGCTAGAAATGTGTCAAGCAAAACAAAACAGTTGGGCATGCCGAGATCAAGTTATCTGCCCTAAAAATTATTTAACCACTTTGAAAGTCCTAAAGATCCATAAAGAAAAGTCACACAAAGAGAGCAAAGGCCACCGAGTTGTTTGCAACACTTTCATGGAAAAGACTCAAGCAGGCATTCCACAAAAGAAGGAATGCAAATCGACCAACAGACATATGAAAAAGTTCAACCTAATTAGCAATCAAAGAAATGCAAATTCAAACAACAAGACACCACCCTTTGCCTTTTAGATTGGCAAGGGATCAAAAATAAGGATGGGAACAGTTTTGGTGCTGGCAAAGAGTGCACAAATGGGAGCTGCTAGGGAACATGTTGGGAGTGTGAATCAAAAGATTTCCAAATGTTAACTGCAGCAGTACACAACAGCAAAGCCATCGGAAGCCACCCATGTCCTCCAGTCGAAGCATGAGAGAATAAAATCATGCTTGCCTTCTGCAGCTTTTAATTGCACAAGCGTTACAGTGTGTCCCCATCCGGAAAGACATTGACACTAAGAAGAACAAAAGCATGTAATAAAAGCCTGTTACACAGCCCTTGGGGTAGGGTGACAGAGCCCACTTATAGGACACTTACAAAGGAACCCAAAAATGAGCACAGAAAATCCTTAACACCAGTCACCATTTTAGAGAGACAAGATGGAGGACAGAACATGAGGTTGAATGTTTCTGATAAATCATCATTAGCTTTCCCTTCCAGCAATTGGCAGTTCTTGTAACTATAAGTATGGAAAGGGGGAAATTGGGGGCATGATGTCTCTGTGGGGAAACCAAGGCTGACAAGGAATTATGAGCAACTCCTGAAAATTGTCCTCTCACCCCCACATGACACCCTGGCGTGTGCACCCTGAAGGAAGAATGGAGGGAGGGAGAAAAGAAAGAAAATGCTTTGTGTACAATTTTGATGCAGGAAGTTGCTTTTCAGAATTGACACCAAAAGAATAAATAATAAATACAACCAAGGTAAACGAAAGCTCACCTGAGCATCTTTTAGATTAAACTTGGAAACTACTTAAGTGTGTGATACCAAAACGTGGTTTCATGAAATACTGAGGTATGTTAATGTAGCAGAAGACTATAACACCATTATAATTTAGTGTCCTGTGTAAAAACAGGTCTAAAAAAACATGTTAAAATTTTATACATTTGGCTTTGAAATGTTTTTATCTTTAAGGCTTTGGCCTAAATGTTTAAGTCACCAGAGTGGGCTGCACTTAGCTGTACCTTTTAGTCTTTAAAGTGTGTAAGCAATAGTTAGTACATCTGCTGCCTCTGAGTGACAAAACACCAGCCTCCTAGACATGAGGTTAATGAAGGTCTCCCCCAGTGCCCCACGAAAAGCCCTCGGGCCAGCCTCAGGAAAGGCTAAAGTTTCTGGAGATTATCTGATGGGATAAACTGAAAATTTTAGGTCATTATTTCTCCTCAACCACCACTCCAGGACAACCTTTGGACACTCTCAGGATACACAAATGTTTATCACAAACCTGAACAAAGAGAACAAAAGAAAACAAATCGTGTTGTAAAAAGAGGTTTTGAGTCTATAAAGACTGAGTACCTATCTCTAAGATTATTTTAAGAATGACTTGGATTCCTTTTATTCTACAAATGAATCATAAAGAGGCTTTTGAAAATATATAATCTATTTTAAGTGCTGAACAAAAGGGTTAGATCAAATCTCTGCCTGGATTTCCTTTTTCTGGATGGCTGGGCTGATTCACACTGACCACTCCAGGAACAGTATCAGTTTCTGCCACAAGGAAAGTGTATGTTTTCACAAACTCACGTGAAAGCCACTATTTCCAGGACAACCTAAAATAGCCAGACCTCAGAGTAAGAGAAGCACCACTCTCTCCGATTTCTGGATATGCGTTTTAAATATGGCTTTACTTCCACCTTAAGGCTGAGTGGCACTTTTGGGGGAAGACTCTGGAGTAAAACTTTATGTTTCTAAGTTCATGTTTGACATCAGAAGATACAAATATAGACGTGAGTTTCAGGCGCCACTTTGCAGGCTTCAAAAGCCATGTGTGACTGTGCTTGCTGGCATGTGGCTTATTATTTGAAACCTATTGGCTCGTTAGCATCATATTGGTTGTTGCTAGTCACTTCAGAACACTCAGTGTCCTCTCACATTACTCACAGAGATACTGGGACCATCTGTTCCTGCAAGGGATTTAAGTATGTGTCTATTGGATAGTGCGCTATTTATTTAATTCAGCACCCACTTCCTATTATATCTTCTTGGGGGAGGGAGAGCCAATTTAATTACAGGGAATAAAGATAACCTTTCCTGGCAGGTTACCCTGTCACATGAGAGCAAAGCAGGACCTGTTCAAAGTAGGTTACGGGGGCGAATAGGAGAGCAAAGCCAACCTTACTTAAGGATATTGAGCAAAGGTTTAACAGAAATAGGCCGACGGTGAGTGGCACTTTTAAAAATATTACTGTAAGCCCGGGGCTTGTCTGCATCAATCTTGGCACATCTGCCTGATGCGGACCGTAAACAGGATTAAAGCTGGGTTTATCTGCCTGGTGCTAATTGTGCTCACAGTTCCTGCACATGTCCATCGAAAACACTGCCTGAAAAACTGCCTGCTGGATAGATGGCTCCCACACAACACCCTGGGCACACACGTGTGTGTGCGTGCTTGTGTGAGCGTGCACACACACACACACACACACACACACATTAGATGGTTAGGAAATGTGATGCCTAACAGGTATTTTTGTTGTTGTTGTTCTTTTTTTTTGGCTCTTCAGAATTATTTATCTAATCCCCTAATTAAAAATACAAAATTCTGTTTGAATACACCACATACTGAGATAAATCTGTGAAGCAAGGGACCAATAAATTTGAATACACTCTAATTGTAAGTAGGAAACACACGTAATTGTTAATAATCAGGTTAAACTAGGGTTTAGACAAACAGGGCCGACCCCGCGGTCCACTGGAAACCCGCTTCAATGTATTGCTCTCCTGAAGGACGTGGCATAGCATGTTAACAGAGGTGCTCACATCCCTACACACACGTGCAGAGCAAAACGGAAACACAGAGAATGAGCATTCACGTCTAGTGAAAAGA